CCCCTCTCAATTCCACCAGAGCGGTTTCTATTACGATCGGGATTTAAGTCCTCGGTTCCATACGAGAAAGGTGTCACGACCCAACCCGACCTTTAGAATTAGTCAAGACAGGTATAGGCGGTTGGATGGTGTGAATTAAATTTTCTATATCCATCTACAATTTAACAGATGAAAAAAGCACTAATCAAATTAAATTAAGGCAGCATATTTAAATTTATCTCGGTACTGGTTGTCTGCGTTTTCTATAAATATTGTCCATTCTATCACTCATCTTTTAATCACTTAAATTAACATGAAAAGTTAGCTTAAGAATAATAGTGTGCTCAATAAGCCAGTGAATATTTATATCTCTTAATTACAGTAATACAATGAGAAAATAAAAATAATATGCATGTAAGTTAAGTTTTATTAAGTCAATATAACTTTTGATGTTATTCAATGAATCTTACTATATCAATAACATACCAATATCATTTTATATCGGTACAACTGTCACATAAGCACCACCTAAAAATTGTATCATTTAAGGTACTTCAATATCAATATCATTTTTTTCATTTACATGCACAGGTACTTTAGTGTTCATTCACTAGTACCCCAAAGGGGTGACTCCATCATATAAGCATTCTATTAAAATCATTATTTACTGAATATATATTTCATCTTATTTGTGTATCCGACAAAATATTTATAAATCATTTAAATAATGTTGTGCACGCATCTCATTCCTATAATATGAGCAAAAATCACTAGAATGAGAGTAGGGAAGTCTCTTGTATTAGGATGTTGAAATCACGATTATTGATGTCTTGCCAAATAATTTTACGCCGTTGAATGAGAGTTTTAGGATAACCAGAAATATTGTCTAAACTCATAGTTTCCTAGCTTACTTGTCATAGATTCTTATTGGGTTTTATAGTGTTGAGAATCTTAGGGCAAAGAAATCGCAAGAATGGACACAAATCAAGAAGAAAACACAGATGTACCATACTACAGAAGCATTGCCCCCACACCCCCAACCCACAGCGAAACTCCCCCCAATTGGACAGATGCTTCGGCTCCGCTCCGCTGGCTCGCTCCATTCTGCGCCGCATCTGTCCCTTATCTGGTATATGAGCCAGACCTAACATATAGCCTCCATCTCCTTGATGATGCCGTAGGGAAATCTCTATTAGAATGTTGTCGCCATGGCAAATACTGCCAAGCTGGTGATTCACAGTTAATATTTGTTAGAGAATGTAAACCAAAAGATGAGCAATGGCCGGTCTGATACATATGCCTGAGAAAGGGACGGAAATTTGGTATTTCATCACCAATATGTTTTTCACTAATCTGATATAGAACCAAAACCCAATAACTCGTGATTTGCCTATTACCTATTTGATAAGCCTATAGTCTATTTTCTATTAGAGAAAATACTCTCAAGAGTAACTATTAAAAAAATTTCTATAGCAATATTGTAAGGCAGGAATAAAGCACCTGACATAATTTCTCATCTTTCTTGTCCATTATCATCTATAGAACCTATCAGGATCAGACTGGAGGAGCATCATGCCGCCCCAAGCGCTTTCCTTCCCAAGCAACTATCATCCATCTTACAAAAAATCTTTAGACGGCGCTCCTAGCGATACGAAAGGAGTAGAAGCATCCTCAAGCATGTCCTCATCTGAGACCAATCCTCTCAAATTAGCCGAGGTGAGCCAATTTATTCGCCAAATTACTTACAAGTACGTGCATTTATGATTAAATCCGCTCATTTGTTTGGTGAATTAGGGGCCGGAATCTCTGAAACACCCAGCGGTCGCATCCTCGACGTTGATGGAACTGACCACACGTCTCGACTTTTTCAAAGAACGAAGGTCTCAGCTTTTGGAGCAGCTGCATAATCTGGAGCTGAGCCATGGAATTTCATCATCTCAAGGATTTGCATATAATCCTTCTTCCCCATCCTGGAACAGTCCTAGATGAAGTGATATACATGTATTGAGATTGAAGGTTTCTCTTCCTTGTTCCACCAATTTGCTTGTGTTTTGAAGACTTGTTAGGGCTGTGTCTTATGTGACCACTTTTATCAATGTAAATTATGTGTAGCCTTCTTTTTCTTCATTTTTTTATTTTATATATTTCCCAGAATTTATTGTTTTGTTGTCCTTGAATAGCACGGTTATTTTAAGGATGTTAGTTATATGTTCTTTTCTATAAAAAATTTATGGCTTTTTTGTGAGTATTTTTGGACAGGTAGTAATACTAATTTGGGGCCTTTACATGCATCCCACAGATTTCTTTTGTATTTATATATCTAACACCTAAAGGTTGCTTTTTATATTGATACCACCCAAATTTTTAATATTACATAAAATACCATCAATTTTACTTTTATAGTTATACACCATTTAATGCATATGTGAGGTTGTTTGTATGTAAAAATTGAATTTTAGGTGTTTGGTACATGAATACATGAGAATTGAGTGGTATGTATTTAAATCTTCCTATTAATTTATATAGTTGATCTCTTCTGTGTCGTATACCCTTATTTGTTGGTTGGCATCCACATTGTATGATCCCTTAGGTCGGGGGTTCGAATCCCCTCTGACACAGTTGGTCTTAATGATCTTATTTTGTTAGGATTGAATGTAAATATGACACTAAATATAGGATGCAATAGACAAAAAAAGATTTATGTAGCCGACCCCAATTTGTGGGATAAAGGTTTTGTTGTTGTTATTGTTGTATCTAACACCTAAATTAACATGTATGCCACATTATCCAAGCATGATGTTTATTAAACTAATTAAAATAGTGTTAGAAACATTTGGGTGGAATAATTAGATGTTAGATTGAAAATATTAACTTGAATTGAGAAAGCTTGTGAATGAAGGAAATTAAAAATAATTCACAAACAGGTGTTATGCTCATTATTCAAAAGCATTCTACATATAATAAACTTAGAGATCAAGACTTTTTTTTCCCTTCCAAATAGATTCTAGCCATAAGGATTCCGGATCACTTCAATACTAAATGTGACACAACATAATCGAATCAATTTTTCAAGTGTTGAAGTGATAACATCAATTGTTGAATGTTGCAATAATCAAATTTTAAAGTGACTTATTTTCTTGTTTTATTTTGTAGCTTTTCATAGCCTTTTTTTTTTTTCTAATTGCAAGATGGCATTGAACGGGCATGTTGCTTGATGAAAAATTTGGCTAAATCAATTGTTGCAAGAGTTAACATGTTAATTTCGACATGATCTTTTGTTCAATAGTGGGACAAGTTAATGAAGTCTAAAAGTAAATTTACAATTTCTTGCACAAATTTTGGTTTATTTTGTTGTCATAATTAGCATTTTAGAGGGTGATCCATCAATGATTTAGGCAACAAGTGTTGAAGTGATAACATCAATTGTTGAATGTTGGTCTTAATGATCACTTCAATTCAGCTAACAAAATCGTGCCACTAGAGTGATTCATTTTGCCTCTCAATGCTATGGAGTTTGTCCTCTTATTTCCTGAAAATAAAAATTCTTCTAAAATATGAATATACACTTAAGTTTGCACATATGCCAGCATTATTTAAATTATGAGTGTCCTATTGAATCAAAACGTATGCACATTCTTGTAATGGCCACGACTTTACCTCCGAGCACTCTTTAGCTATTATGTTTGTGTCTAGTATCCTTTCCATTATGAGAAACTTAGCCATCATATCTTGCCTCAAACCTCCCTTATAGCATAGCCAATTCACACTCATTATGTGTTTTTGAATAATCACTACTTCATACTCTAAATTAACTATATTTACTTGTCCATATTATATTAACTTCATAATTACTTAATAAATAATCATGGATTTGTTCTTTAATAGAATATGACTATTACATAATTACTTACGTGATGTACATAATATTTTAGGATAAGTTGAACCAAAAATATCATTCTAAATCTCTCAATGTAATCTTCTTGAAAATAAAGATCCACCACCTGAAAAATCAGAATGCAATATTTCTCAGTGATAGACTCAATGTGATGAAAAATTGTCGATGCTTTTTTATTCCTAAAATGGACTATATTAATTCTTCATAGTAATCTCTAACATACGATCCCTACACCAATATTCTATACAAAAATAGTATTTTTTTCCTTTCAATTTTAAGTAGACTCCTAATATTCTTGAGTAGTGAATAATCAATTTATAGACATTGGGCATATAATTAAATAAGTGATAATTATAATAACAAAATTTCAAAACTTTTATTAAAATTCTAACCCAGCACAAGCCATCGTGACTACATCTAATCATTATAAAAGGTATTTAGTTCATGCTTAAGGAAAAAAAAAGAAGATAATATATAAGACAAAACATGATTACAACAAAACCTAAATGAAAGAATAATAAAGATTTAGCAAATAACTTTTAAATAGTGCATATGATCTTCATCTTCTTCTCTGTCTCAAAACCTCCTTGATCCTCTTTAATGGTTGCCTTCATAAGAACCTTGAAAAAGTTTAAAAGTGCTCAACAACTTCTGTCGAGAAAAAAGGCATCAAACCTGCCTTTAAATAATCTAAGTTGTCTTTTCATTCGCCTTAAGAAATTTATTAAATATGGTTGCATGGACTCCTATAGTTCGCCTTAAGAAATTTATTAAATATGGTTTTATGGACTCCTCCAATTATTTTAAGTTTTTTATGCTAAATTTAGGACAAATTTGAGGCTAACATCATGTCAATGCCAAAGTGTTAAGCCAAATGTCCTAAACATGCTTCTACTATAGTTTAATGTACATGCGCTTGGCTCTCAGATTCTACTTTCCATCATGTACTAGCATGGAGGGAATACATTCCATTTAAGGTGAAATGGCATGCTAGAGTTCTAAATTTCTTTTATTTTGTAATGAGATATGATATCAAGAATAATATATCATCTTGAAAGGTGAAAATATTGCCCAACAATGAATTTAATTATGAAATGATTGTTTCAAGGCTAAAGTCTACGTTACAAATTTTTTTCCCCTACTTGTGTGAATAAAATATATTTATTTTATTTTGGGATAAATATTCCCTAAAGTGACAAGCCTTTAGAGTTAATTACCCCTTAGAAAAGGTAATCTCATAGGAAATCTATTGATTAAAATAGTTGCTCACTTTTATCAGCAGATCATAAGTTTGGATTTAAGATTAATGTTTGAGATTCAATTGGGATTAGTTAAAATTGTGCATAATTCCTTTTAGAAGCTAATGGAAGAAAAGTAAGCACCATATATTCAAAGATTTAATGGCACTTCAGAACATCTTTTGGTTGGGCTTTAAGTTTAAAAAAATTGAAAAAAACTTTTAGGATTGAATTGTCCATTTTTTAAGGATTTAGGACTTATAATTCAACAACATTAGATCATGAGAATGCTTAGAACCTAAGCTAAGATGAGAGCTATTGATACAAACAGGGAGCTTAAAGCTATTATAAGAGAAACACCATCCGAATTTCAAGGGGAACAATAACAATTAAGATGTAAGAAACTAATAATGGGGTAAAAATTAACCCAACTATATAGACAATTGAAATATTTAGAGCTTTAGCAACCTGGGCCTACCTTACCCACCATATTTATTTTTAATTCTCAGGTAGCTTCATCATCCCCTATGCCATATGAGAGAAATTCTTCATAAAAAGTTTATGTGACTTATGGGCTTCTGCCTATATTTAAAACAATAGGATTAGAATAAGTCCACCCTATTATAGTGATTCTATAGTTAGTTGAATATCTTCTTACCTATTTTAAAGGTTATAGAGGAGATTTTCTTTAGGATTAATAAATTCATCTTCCCTGTTAGTTTTATTATCTTAAATATAAAGAAAGATAAAGAGATATTGATTATCCTAGGTTATCATTTTTTTAACAACAGGAAGTGCCATGATATGTTTAAAAAAGGTGATTTGGCTATGAGGTTAAATGATCAGGAAGTGACTTTCAATATTTTGAAATAAGTTAAATACCCCCATGACGTAAGTGAAAATTCATATTATAGGTTTTACTTTGTTGATGGGTTGATCTGGAGCTAATTCCAAGATATTATTGAAATGGATCCAGTAGAGCAAGAATTGATTGAGGATGATAGTAATGGCCCTAAGAAATAAATTTTTGTACTGCTAGAGGTAATCCTTAGACTGATTAGGGATATATTTGAGATTTTAGATACCTCAGCTAGTGCTAAACTTTAGTACCTTCTATAGTTAATGCCTCTAATTAGAACTTAAGGTTCCCCCAAAATACTTGAATTTTATATTCTTAAGAGAATCTTCCACTTTGCATGTTATTATTTCTTCTAAATTGATTGAATTGCAAGAGGAAAAGTTAATGCGAGTGTTGAGGACTTCTAGGAAAATTTGTGGGTCGAGCATAACAGATTTAAATGTTATAAGCCCATCCTTATGTACGCATGGAATACTGATGGAGAAAGACCATGAACCCAAAGTTGATCCTCATAAAAGGTTAAACCCACTATAAAAGAGATTGTGAAAAATGAAATTTTGTAGTTAGATGCAAATATTACATACCTTAACTTTTATAGTGCATGAGTTACCCTAATACATGGTGTATCTAAGAAAGAGAGTGTGATTGTAGTGGAGAATGTAAAGAACAAACTTATGCCTACTAGGAGTGTCATAGGTTGGAGGATCTATATAGACTATAGGAAGTTGAATAAAGCGACTAGAAAAGACCATGTTATCTTGTCATTTTTTAATCAAATATTAAATAAATTGGCACGACATTCTTATTTTTATTCTTAGATGGTTACTTGGGATACTGACAACGACTTTATATGTGCTTAAAATTACAAGAATTTGATACTGCTGCTAGAAGATTTAATTCTCCGGCAATGACGCCAAAAACTTGACAACGGTTATAGATTCGATAAATGTATGTATAAAATATTCAATAATTGTAAAGTCACACTTATCAACGCAATTATATGTATCACTCAAGTAATATGGGGCTCTAATGGAGTCTTAGATATCGATCCCACAGGGAGTAATATTAGACCACGAACTAAGATTTTAGAAAAGCAATACTTAATTACAACAATAAAATTTGAATTGCTTATCTGTCACTAATAAGCAATTGAAATAGATATATAATTTTAATAACTCTTAAATAACTAATTATACTAATAAAGTTTTTAATGTGATACTCAATATATAAGAA